ACGCTGGGGGGGGGCCACCGGGGGACCCCCTCCCCAGGGGACAGGCAGGCAGGGGCCCCCCGCGACAGCGTCGGGCGCCTCCCGCTGTGCCCCCTGGCCGCGGGGAGTGGCAGCCGCGGGCTGGGCGCTAGGTGGCCCACCCGCGGAAAGAGTAAGAGCTCGCGCCGGGCGGCCCGGCCGAGCGGGCGCCCCGACCGCGGGCCGCCACGAGGGAGCGGAAGGAAGGAAGGAGGATGGCGAGGAGGAGGAGGAGGAGGAGGAGGAGGAAGAGGAGGAGGACGAGGAGGACGGCACCGTGCTGGCCCACCGCTCTGCGGCCAATTGCGAGTTGTCATGTGCATACCTTGCGCCCCGCTCCCCTCCCCCTCAAATGCCACGACCCCGCGCCTCCCCTCCCTCCCTCACCCTCCTCTCCCAAATGCTGGGCCTTCGTGGGGAAGGCCTGGGGTGCTACTTTTGCGACGGCCTCCCGCACCAGAGCGCCAGCATCGGGCCCAGAACTCGGAAGGCTGTTCTCGGGCTCGTGGGGTTTTAATTCGATTTTCGAGGATTCTGGCCTGAATCCCCCCAGGATTCCAATAAGGGCAGGGCGGTGTCAGGACGAGCGATCCGGGGCCTCATATCCTCGTGCGCTGGGGCTCTGGACGGCGTGAGCTCGCCCGAGGGCTCCCTCAAATCACGGCGACGGCTAGTGGTTCGGCCGCTGGCTCTAGGGCCTCGACCTTGCTGAGGAAATCTACCGCTCCAAGGTGGAGGACGCACAGGGCAATTGTGAGGTTCCTCGCCCTGCGCTGGCGAGAGCGAGGGCCAGAAGATAAGACGATTAGCCGCAGGAGGCGCCGAGCAACACTAGAGGCGTCAGAACACTCGATGATGAACCACTCGAGGACCCGAGGCGTCGACCAATGCCAGAAGATTCCCTACCTGCTGTTGGCGGTGTTCGGCAGCTCGCATAGCACGACGCTGCCCCGCACTCCTGCTGCCGCTCATTTGGTAATTGGTAATTCAGCCAACGGTTGCCGGGAGCTCTGACGATCCTTCAACGAAGCGCTGCCCTAAGAAGATCCTTTGGCCTGGGCTGGCAGGAACTGCTTACATTCGGCTCCCTGCTTAATAACATCGGCGACTAAGATGGGCTAGTTTTCCACCGTTCCTCTCTCACCCCCCTCTGGGCGGGCCAACCTTCTCCCCCATCCCCCTCCCCTCAGCGGCCGCGATCGGGCCAAGCGGCACAATCGCATTGCGTTGTAGAGTATAGCTGGTTTCTGTTGTGACGGCCTCGCCGTTGGTCTTTGACAAGGCGTGGATAATTCAATCTTGAATGATCGCAGATTCCCGATCCTGAAGGTCGTTGGATAGGGGCGAATGGTGGCGTTCAACCTTGACCGCCCGCGTTGGAGTCGCCGCCGCAGCAGAGCGGCGCCCAAAGCATAATGTAGTGGCATTGGTAATGGCAGTAGTAGTAGTAGTAGTAGTAGTAGTAGTAGTAGTAGTAGTAGTAGTAGTAGGAGGAGGAGGAGGAGGAGGAGGAGACCAGCGTACCCAGAGGTCAGCTCCCCGCGCCTAGCACGGCGCCTGAGGCAGCATGGGCACGCCTCCTGTCGAAGCTGTTGTAGCTGAGGCCGCCGACGCTGCAGCCCATGAGTGCAGCGGATAGCCGTCGAATTTATATCATTCTTATTCGGAGGATGCTGAGTGCAGGGGGGAGCGAGAACGCAAGATGGGACCGAGACGAGACGCAGAGAGCAGTGAGGACAGTGCCGAGAGCGTGCAGGTGAATCACGAACACGCCTCGAAAAGGAAAGGGACGAGAGAGAGACCCTCATCCAACAAGGGGCACTCTCCGCGCCGTGCGCGGGGCCGGGGAGCAACGGTGCGAGGGTCACTAACGGCGCGCCGCCGGGCAGTCCCCACTCGCACCGCGCCCCCCGTTGGGAAGACAACCTACGCCTGTACTTCCGCCCACTATGCAGGTGCCTCGGGCTCGGGCGCCTGAGGAAAATGGGCAACAGGAGCCTTTTCCGACGGCACTCACACACATAGGGCAATCTGAGGGTGCCCCCAACTCCTGTACCAGGACTCGTACCAATAGAAGAAGATAGAGTAGCACTGCATGACCATGACGACGAAATTCTCGTCAGAGGCGAAATCGAAGAGGAGGGTCCCGCCATCAGCGACGGACAGGGCGCAAACGAAGGGGCAGCAGCCGTCGAACACGGCCAGGTCGGGGAAAACGAGCACGGGGTAGTAGCGAAGAGAGAGGCGATCCGTGTCCACAACGGAGAAGCTCGTGACGACGGCGTAACTCTCCGAGACGGCGCAACTCTCGAGGATGGCGTGCAGCTCTCGAAGACGGCGCAACTCTCGTTGACGGAGACACTCTCGAAGACGGCGCAACTCTCGAAGACGGCGCAACTCACCATGACGGGGCAACACTCGACGTCGGCGCAATTCACGAAGAAGGCGCAATTCTCGATGTCTGAGCCCTTATTTCCATCAGAGGCGGTCGACCTCCGCACAAGAGACGAGATCTCGCAACTTACTCCAGAGCCCTTATTTAGAACAGAGGCGGTCGACCTCCGAACTCGAGACACAGGCTCGCAACTTACTCCAGAGCCCTTATTTAAAACAGAGGCGGTCGACCTCCGAACTCGAGACGCAAGCTCACAACTTACTCCAGAGCCGTTATTTCCATCAGAGGCGGTCGACCTCCGCGTTCTAACGCCAGTGGCCGCAGGGCTCGAGGAGCACCCTGCGATCGAGACCTGGAGGAGGAAAGAGGCAGGGTCAACGTCACCATCACCATCGGCGGCATCGCCATCATCGGGATCCACTGCTGAGACGAGTGAGGCAAAGTAGTGCACCGACCCGTTGGCAGCAACGATGGGCAGGGACTCGTCTCCATTGCTGTCCACAAGGAAGTCGCGAATACGGTGTGGTGCAGCGGGTCCCAAGTATTGCCTCATCTCTCTGCGAATCTCACGAAGGGCTTGGAAATGTCGATCCACCATCTCTTCCCAGAGCCCGTGCCGCGTCAACGAGTTACGCGGGTCATTCAGCCACCGAAAGTAATCTACAGTATTGAGGCGCCCCTCGGTAGAGGTGTCCCAGGCAACCATGCAGATATGACGAGCGAGTTCGTCGAGAGCACCACTCCAACCAGACGAATCCACCCATTCCATCGCCTCAAATTTGGCACGTACGTATGGGATGCACCACATCAACCAGTCGGCACGGCCGCTCTCGGAGTCATCCAAGCGCAAGATCCAGCGTGTAGCCCTTGGTGCAATACGTTCGCCGAAGACAACAGGTGTTGCATGCTCCACAGAGGAAGAATGTGGATGGCCCGCCAGACGCAGGATGTGAGCACTCGGTGACGGCGTCGACTTCGACGAGGTGGCATCGTCCAGACACCGCAACTGTACAGGGAGAGAAGGGTCCTCACGAACAGGAAGCCCACCATCACGAAGGCGTTCGACACGCTTGATGGTCGCACGATATTCACGTTCAAGCCGAGTAACATCCGCCTCACATGCAGCTGGGACAGACATCGACGCTGCATGGACCGCGGAGAGCGCCACCGTGGCGGCAAGCGGCCATGGGAACATGGATGCCGCAGGTCGCGGCGGGGTGGCAGCGGGAGCGGACGCCCGCCCGTTGACGCCCTGCCTTGAGGGCAGGGCCTCGCACTGAGCCAAAGCGCCAGCAGGAATGGGCACAGGAGACACTGGATGGGGAACAGGTTGGCCAGCTTCATCAGCGCTATGTATCACATCGTCGTCACACGGGGTGGGAGGGACCAGGTCAGGGATGGGGGCCGCAGCATCTGAACTCAAACAGGAGGTGGACGATGAGGTGAGCACATCCCACTGAGGCTGCCTTCGGCGGATCGTCTGGACAGCGGGAGGAGGTTCCCACCGTTTCAATTTGGCTGAAGGCCTGGCCAGACGAGAGGTGCGGACGGCGGCCTCAACATAACCACGCAACTGACGGGGAGTCGACACTAGAGCACCTTGCCGAGCATAGTTGAAGACCTGGTAATAGACATAGAGAGCTTCGAAGTGGTCAGGGTGGGGGTGGGTAAGGCCAAGACGCTGAGCCAAGGGGCGAGGCAGGGCACGCTGTAGACCTTTGCAGACTGCCAGGTACAATTTAGGGCAGCGTAGATAATGTTGCAGCCGATCAGGGCCAGGGCATCCGAAACGACAGCGAAGTTTGCCCCTCGGGTGGATAATCCTATGTGATGTCAGCCATCCATGCCCCCAAGTCCGCAAGGCTGCCATCGCCCAGCTTTGCGGAACCAATGCCAAAAGCTCCTGAATAGCGGGCCAGTGGATCAGGTTGAGGAAGGGGAGGTAAGCTGTGAATAACGGGGTTAAGTGGCGAATCAGCATGGCATGTAGAGGTTTGTGCGCACACATGTTCTGACCCAGCGAGCGGGCAGCAGCACGTTGCAGCTTGGGCCTTCGTGTCGTAACCTGAGCTTCCTCACGCATGGCAGAGCGAGCGGCGACGAGTAGGGGCTCTTGAGACCTCACGTGGACCAGCTCAAGGTGTTCGACGAACGCAGGGGATTTCCAGAAAGATGGATAAACACGGGAGCGATCCACAGCAGCCAAGGGGATATCATCAAACTTCCCTTCCACAACCTCTCTGTGCCAAAGAGAAGCCGTTTGTCGCAGTAGCCGTAAGTATTCCTCAAAGCCCTGGAAGGTGTGAAAAGCAGCACGTAGGTGAGCTGCAGTAGCATGGGCAGCCCACGATGGAATCTGAGGACCACCCCAGGCCGGGAGCTCCAGGATCGATTCGTTCGAAAAGAGGCCAAGAGGAGCACGGAGAACTTGGGCGATGGCACCACGCTCAATGGGAAGGAACCATTCGGGCATAGGGAGGAATTGGGCTACATACGCCAAACAGGGGTAGACCCGCGTGCGGTACAATATACAATTCGTACAGACTGACGCAACCCCACGTCCCAACATCCGAGAGCGAGATCGTGCCTTCATAAGCGGGCCCCTCCAGTTCATGTCGACCGTCGCATCTGGGCCCAAGATCATCCCAAGATAAAGCAACCACCCCTCAACGGCAAAGCCTGACCAGTCACTCGCGATAGAAGCCAGCTGGGTCTGGGTCATGGTTTTCAAGGTTTCTGTCATGCGGCCGACGAGAGGGACCAGGGTGCACTTGCTGATCTTAATCTTGAGGCCCGCAATCTTTTCCATGACACCGAGGACGCGCACCAGGATGCGCAGAGAGGCTAGCTCATACAGGACAGCGCCTAGATCATCGGCACAGGCACGGCATATCCCCAACTGACGTTGCTCAATACTCCGCTCGAGGTCGGCCAACATGGGAGAGGAGGCGAGAGCGCACAAAGACCCCGAGAGACCACAGCCTTGGATGATGCCCGAGCGGATCCAGAAGATGGTCGAGTAGCATCCCCCATCCAGGACCACACCTTCAACAGCCAAATACATCCAGCCCACAAAAGCGAGAATCTCGGCGGGGAGCCCAAGAGAGCCCAATAGCTGTAGCAGGAAGGACTGCGACAAGCTCGGGAAGGCCTGCCCGTAGTCGAACCCGACGAGGACAGGGTAACGACGCACAGCTAGGGGATGTTGCGATGCAAGCCGTGCATGGACATCCAGCTCAAGCACGTTGTAGCAAAAATTTCGTCCTCTAATGAAGCCTCTCTGGGAAGCAGGTGCAACGGCTTGGACGACAGGCTCGAGGACCCTGTTCATGACCGAGCTCAGGATCTTAACGTCGGTGTTACGCAGCCCCAGGACCCGTATCTTATCGGGAGACCGAGAACAAACCCCAGACGGCAGATCTGAGTCATCAGCACCTTTGGGGAGGAACGCCTGGAGGGTGACGCTGGCAGAGGCAAACAACGACTGACCTTGGCATAGCCATCCGAACATTCTGGCCAGGTGCTGGGCGCCGTAGTCGCACGCCGACCAGGCCGCATAAGGCAGCCCGTCGACACCAGGAGCAGAGTGACGAGCACGCCTGAGAACCTTACGAAACATTGGGGTCAGAGGACAGTGCAGGTCGATGTCAGAGGCCTTGGTGAGGAACCTATCGAGGTACATCTGGGTCATGACAGGGTGGGGCTCTTTCTTGGAGAAGACAGGGGTCCAGTAGGCCGCCAGGGCCGCAGTGCGTTCCCGAACCTCTGAGATGGGGCCCTCAGGAGTATTGACCGCGGACAGTATCAGGCGCTTCGAAAACGGGGCCCATATGGAGGCCTTCCTTTCCATAGCTCGCAAGAGCGTGGCCGAATGAGGCCGCCAGGCAGATGAGGAGCCTGAAGGAGCACGATCAGCAGCAGCAGCAGCAAGCTCTTTTTCGAAGACCAGCCGGTGTACTCCAGCGGCCCACTGCTCGAAGGACGGGGCGTGGCGCAGCGAGACGACCTCGCCGTCGACCGTCAGGGCGTCGGCGGCGTGCTGGGAGGTCTCGATGAGCTTGAGGGCAAGGGCAGCGTCTTGACGCCATACCGCTCGTGCTATCCCACGAGCAACCAGCTGAAGCGTCCCAGGCAGGTCAGGGGCCGAGAAGAAGAGGATGTCGCGGGCCCCCCTGGCGGCCTCCTTCATCATGTACTTGTAGTGCTCTGTAGCCACCGGTGGGCTCCATCGGAGCAGATCCTCATCACCATCAGCAACCATTCCTCGGAGTCGGCGCTGGAAAGCAACAGAGGTGAAGATGTGCTTGGGGATGGGTCGCTCAGCAGCGGGACGCACACCCCGAAGACGCAGCCGAATCGAGAGAGCAGCATGATCCGAGATGCCCATGGAGCACAGGTGCTCAGGCGTGTCCACGGTGTTAACCTCAGTCATGAGCTGACACATCATCCAGCCTGTGGCAGAACAGAAGAAGCGGTCGATGATGTTGATGGAATTGGTGAACTTGCAGAAATGGGTCGCCGCTTCAGAGTTAATCTCCATCATCTTGCCAAGTGTAGCCGCCCAGATTGGAGCATGTACTTTATGATCATGAGTCAACTGGCGCTGTACTCCAGTAGGTCGGTGAAAGATGAGAGAAGAATCGTAACTGTAGTTGAGATCCCCCAAGACAACCACAAAATACGAGAGTGGGTCATCAGCAGCGCGACGCAGAGCACAATCGATCTGCTCACAGACAGATTGTACCTCCCCCTTGGTCAAGCCGTGATTGTGAACGTTGAAGATCACCAGCTGTGTCTGCCCAAGTGCTACATCAACACGAAGCACCCTGCCTCTGATCAGAGGCACCGCACAGCTACTGACCGAAGTGGATGAGAAAGGAGGAAGAATGACTGCAACTCCCCCAGAGCCGCGGACAACCTCGCCGTCGTCATCTTCACAAAAGCTACTGTGGACAATGGCCGTGGAGGAAAGCCTGGCCACAAAGTCGTTCAGCTCAAATCGATCTGCATGCACTTCTTGGAGAGCCAAGATGGATCGCCCAGGTTGAAGTTTGCTTAGGTAAGATAGTTTAGGCGAGGCTTTCGCCCCACCAAATTGGAGAAGAGCGCGTGCATTCCAAGTCATGAATGTGAGGCTGGCTGTGATCTCTCCGCCGACCTGCCCCACTGGAAGCACAAACATATCAGTGATGGCGTCAAAGACACCACTGGGTGGCCGACGGCGCGGCGGCGATGTTCCGAATGGCATCCTGGAGGTCGCGACGGTCCAGGCCGAGGGCGCGGATCCCCACGTCGTTCCAAGAGAGCTCAGGGGGTTCATCTCCTGGCCGGGGGACAAGCCGCAGGATGTCGGTGTAGTCAGACTTGAGAACACTCCGCTCCCGATCAACAAACCACTTTCTCTGACTGTCGAGCTCCATGAGGGAAGAACGGACCTTACGAAGGAGCATCTCACCACGAACCTGTTTCGGCGACTTGTCAGGACCAAAGTGAAGACGGGCTGGGTCCGCGCCTTGAGCTGGGCACTGGAAGACCCGCCATGCTCCGTCCGACTTGAGGTTAGCGAGGGCCTTTTGCACACGTCGGGAGGCCAGGCCGATCGGCCCAGAGAAGCACACGGCAAACTTTTTGGCGGGGAGCGGCGTGAGGGCTTTGATCGTGTACGTGTCGTCCTCAGAGAAGTTGAGCTCGCCCATGAAGGAGTTGACCACCTCACGGACGCCAGCCAGACCGACGAGCTTGGACGAGACCACAATGACCTGCGTCGGGTCGATCTCGCGGTCGAAACCAGGTGGGGCAGGGGGACGCGACGGAAGTTGTCGGTCCAGCTCACTCTGGCGGCGTAGCTCCTCGACCTGCTTCTGCAGCTCAGCCAACTTGGCAGCCTGGGCCTCGATGTCCCGCTCAGTGTAGTCGACACGACGGGATAGGGCGTCATGCTGCTCCTGAAACTGGCGCTGCATGGTATCAAACTGCGGACGCACCGATGCCATGACCTGCTGATCAATGGAGGTGTGCTGCGAGGAAAGCTGCTTCTGAAGAGTGGCGAGCGTGGCAACGATGGGAGCGTTTGACTGCTGTACAGAATTGGTGATGGCCGTAGTAACGATATTGTCGAACTCATTGCGCAGCTGCATGAACCTCGCGGAGATGTCGGCATGGTAGAAGGCCCGAGTGAAGGCAGCATGCTCCTCCTCTTCGCCACAATCAGCAGCACCACCAGCAGCAGCCTGAGCCCGCGGGGTGGCGCCCGCACCCGCCGCCGCGGCCCAGGGGTCGAAAAGCCTAGCAGCAGGGCCCTGCGGGGTGGCGTTCGGGTCGGGTCGCGCCTCCTGCGACGGGAAGGTAGCGGCCATCTCGAGCTCTGCAGCCACCTGTGCACGCTTGGAATCGTCCCATTCGTCCAAGGGAATAGCTTGAGCACCGCGAGATGCTCCCAGAGCCGCAGGGTCGGGGCCCCGATGCGAGGCTGCAGCACCAGGAGACATAGGGACGTCCCCGCCAGCGCCACGAGCGCGGCCAGCACGGCGAGCACGGCGAGGGGGCTCAGGAGCAGGGCCAGCATTGCCGTGGGAGGAAGGCCGAGCGCGAGCTGCACGACGAGCACCACGGCTGCCACCGCTCCGAGAGGCAGAGCGGCGGGGTTCCTCAGAGGAATCACGGCCACCAGAGGAAGCAATCTCCGTATCAATATCTTCACCCCCATCGAGACGATGCACGACATGGTGTGGGCGGTCGCAGGCGGCAGGGCCCATGGCGGCTCAGCTCGCGTCGTTGTAGCCAAAATTGGGAGCGTGCTGTGGCGCACGGCAGGAAGGAGAGAGGCGTCCTGGCCTCGGAAGGTTCGGGCCTCCCTGTCGCCTGCGACAAGGCTGAAGCCCCAGGGCAGGTTTCAACCTTGAGCCAAAATGGCTACGGAGGAGGAGGAGGAGGAGGAG